TATATATAAAATTCTTCTTATTTTTTTTTTCGACACAAGGAGTCACACCTTTTAAATACTGTCAAAACAACAGTCATTATTTAACAAAAAAATGAACCCAAATTATTGGAGTGTATTATACAGGGGCCTTAATAAGAAATTTTTCACTTTGTGTAGCCCTTAACCAGCACCTTGGCAGTACCTAGGGGTGATTTAAAAAAAAAAAAAAAAAAAAAAAAAGAATAGACTCAGTGATTTCTAGTTCCCACAGAAAGCAACTCAATATGCTTCATTTATTCATTTCATTTTTGTGGTAGTGGCGGCGTATCATACACAGTTGCGTGTTATCGCAGGATTTTAAGGGAATGTTACAAGTTTGAGAAACACAGACAAGCAAGTTCTCTGGAGTACTTGGAGCCTCCTGATGGTGTCCACCTGTCTTTTTATTTTTTTTTTTTTTTTTTTTTTTTTTTTTTTTTTTTTTTTTTTGGGCTTCCGTAGTGATGACAGATCCCAGACCAATCCCATCTACAAGGACAGCAAAGAAGCTCTCCACTCCAGCTGCGGAGACAAACAGCCTCTCGTCTCCGTGTGATGCCCGCGGCCGGGAAGATGGAGTGCGCGGCCAGAGAGTGACGGATGATGTCAGGTGGCTACTTAAGAGCCACTCTGATGGTTATCGATGATGAGCGGCCGAGCGAGCGAGGCTCTATGGATGGCCAAAATCAAAAGAAGTACCTATCAAAAAAAAAAAAAAATCTGAGAAAGTGTGAGTGATTGCTTTGCGGGAGCTTGCGCGAGGACAAAAGGCGGGCAATCTTCTTCCGATTTATTCAGCGGCATGGAAGGTGATGAGCTATCCACTTTTAACATTGTTAGCTGCTTCTGGGCTGTAGGCACTCGAAAATCTCACTTTTGACACCGTTTCCAATGGCAAGCTAATGTCAAGGCTTGTTGATTTGCGCCTGATGTCTTCATGTGGTTCCCATGACAGCATTTAGCGCTTTCCCAGCAGCTTTGTACGACCTCTGCGCTTGTGGTTTGTTGATTTCATGAAAATATATTTTACAGGCCGCCCACAGCCGCAGCCTGCGCATATTAGAGTGCATTATGAATAATAATCAGCATAAATGTACAATCAGTGGGAGTCCACACACATGTGGCGAAGCACTTTTGAAGGCATAAACACTTGGAAGTGTAATACCATTAGGACTCGGAGTAAAGGGAATTTTGCTTGATTTTAACTTCAATAGTTGTAAAAGATCTAGAGAGACCATATAAATAAGATTCTTTTTAGATTGATTTGTTTTATAGTTGTACCGCTCTGACATTCTTGAACCCTTTCATGCACCTTGTAAGCTGATAACATGGTAAGCTGTCCACTGGAGTAACCGCTGTCCCTGAAAGGGTTAAACACGTTTTATATGTATTAACACACCACTTTTTACCAAAAACTAATTGCAAGCATAAAATAATTTTATTTGTCTTTAAGACCCCCTTTTTTATGCACATTGTAAATGTATTCCAACACAAAAAAACCACATTGCAAACATAAAATCTTTATTAAAAGAAATACTTTACTTATTGTTTCGGTTGCTGGTCCCTCTCTGTGGAAGGACCTCCCACTGAACGTTCGGCAAGGCCCCTCGCTACCCATCTATAAAACTCGTCTTAAAACTCATTTTTATTCTTTGACTTTTGACTCAGCGTGAGACGTGATTTTTAGTTTGACCGTTTTTGTGCTTTCTACTGTCTTTGTTATTCATTTAGTGTTTTGTTTCGTGTTGTATGAATTATTTTTGCTCCATGTACAGCACTGTGTGTACAGCGGTGGTTGTTTTAAAGTGCTTCAGAAATACGGTTGAGTAGTGTCAGCATTGGATACGTGCATGTGCCTTTAAGAGGCGGGGCATGCTGGGGGGGCGGCTCCTGTGTTTCTCTCTTTCGGGGTTCAATAAAGAGCTAAAAAAAATTGCATCTGCTGCTCTCACTACCACATTTGAAAATATTTATTTATTATTACGACAATTATTATTTTATTATTGCTTTTTGGTATTGAAACTGTGATAAATAATTCAGTCCAAGTAACCTAATTTTATTCTTCCAAGTGTAAAAGTTAAGCCAGTAATTGAAATGCAGAGTATGTCTCTTGTCAGTGTGTTTGTTATCTGGTTCACGGATGACTTAAATCATTAACAATGGAACACCTAAATGGGGGAAAAATATTTAATAACTGACAATCAGCAAAACATAACAGATGGACCTACCTTAACTAATTAACTCATGGTAGTGCTAGTCGTAGAGCACCACTTTTCAATTTATTTATTTATTTTTTTGTCCATCCGTTAGTGAGCTAGTTAGATAGCAGGCAACTTCCTGATTCTAGCTAGTTATCTTGTTGGCTTTTTAACTAACAAACCAACCAGTGGTTGTACTATTTGCGCAGCACCACTTTTTAGTTTGCGTTTTCATCCATTAGTTAGCAGCCTACTTCCTGATTCTAGCTTGTTATCTCGTTAGCTATCCAACTAACTAACCGGTGGTTGTACTATTTGCGGAGCACCACTTTTTTGTTTGCGTTTTCATCCATTAGTTAGGCTACTTCTTGATTCTAACTATGACTGACTGACTGCACGGCCCACTAACTAGTGCTGTGGTTAAACACTATGCCAAACTTCAAAAATTAATAGCCCTGGCAGCGTGTCACTCAAAAGTGAGCATTATTTTTGCACAGGCAGAATTGCTCCTCGGGCTCACGTATTGGATGTCATTAGATGTGTGCGCAAGTGTAGCTAATCGAAAGTCACACATAAATACTCAGTGCAAATAACACTTTGTCTAAAAGTCAGGTACCCTTGAAAATGCGCCCATTTATTAGGTGTGCAAGGCAGCTCCAGTAAATGAGGTTTGTTGTAATTCTCCCCCTCCTCCCGAAAAATAATCGTCATGGACCACAAGTTCATCCTTTCTAATTTTCCACGAAGCCTTCGCCGTTGTCGGCTCTTACGAACGTGAGCGTGCTCGCGGTACGGATCGTTTCATCATGCTTGTCGGCTGAAGTTATGTTTGGGCTTTTATGCACTTTTATTATCTGTGCGCGGCTGACCGCAGGCCGCCGTTAATAAACGGGGCGAAGTGGCAGTTTAACAGTGACACTTCATTAACGGCCCGTGTGTCCGCGCACCGCCGGGATAATGTTATTAAACTGATTATTCAAGCGCCCGCTGAGCAACGCTGAATGTTTTACACACTGTATACGTATCTCCACTCAAACTATACAGACTTATTGGAGCTTCACACCTCGGGGAAAGGGGGGGGGGGGTGCGCGGAGAAAGTCTTCAAGAAGTTGTATATCTGAAGCGACCCGTGGAATTCAGCTATGCGGGTGCACAAGGCTTCAACTGTGCACCGGCAGAAATAAACGTGATTATTTCGCTTGTTATGTGGCGCAGCACAACTTGCAGCTACGATGCGGTGCTGTATCATGACCGTTTCACCTTCGTGGTGCCCTGTGGATGAACCTGTAGACAATAGCTTCAGGATAGAATACATTAATGTATAGGATTTTAAAAAAAAAAATGTTCTTGACTACTGTAAAATTTTATAACCAGATGGAATTAGTGGATGTTTATTCTTGGAAAAAAAAAAGTAAATGGAAATATGATTACAGTGTGAAATGATGTACTTATTTTCATCAAGATTAGTCTACGAAAGAGTGTTGGATTCAAACTGAAAAGAGAAAATTGTAATAATATTATTTTGTATTTACTCTCGTTAAACTGACGTTTTTTTCCCATATTATTCCCCACCCCCAGCGATTTTTTGGGGGGCGGAGGATAGGGACCAGGCCAGCCCACGAACAGCGAAAATCTACGTAGCAAAGAAAGGAAAATACATCTGCATCAGCATCACCGGTGAGTACCATGGACGCGCTCGGTGTCAAAACTGGCACGTCTTCATTTTCGTGCTGAGGCAAGTCAAGTAGTAATTTGCAATGCTGGGGGTTTTCCATTACACACATCCGACGCACCTAATAATTTGGTGACAGAAAATCATCCTGGTCAACTTTGCATCTTCCACCCGTGGAGGCCTAGTAGCTTTTCGAGTCGATTCCTGCTTCCGCAATGTCAAAGACAAGCGGGGGAATAAGTGGAGCTGCTTTAATTGGCCGGGCTGTGCTCACTCCCACGACGGTGCAAACGCCTAATTCTACCCGCATACGTCGACGAAAATACAAGAAGAAAGAAAACTCTTCCCACGCGCCAAGTTAGAATTGTGCCTTGGGCTCGGCTTACGCTCAGCATGAAAATCGGGCCCAAAGTTGAAACTGTGTTTCGTGCTTGAGGTCCCTCAAGTCCCCACTGAAGGCCGAAGTCCAAAACTCGCTGCTCACCAAACTGTGCATGAAGTTACAGTGACTTAAAGTAATGTTGAAAACACTGCACTGTTTACAGTTTCAACCTCTTGTTTGAATGTTCGTCATGATGATGATTCTTGGAAATTATTATTATTAGTTTTTTTTTTGTGTGTGTGTGTACTTTTAGTTTGAGAAGGACTGCTGCGGGCTAAGAGGAACGCCAAAAAGGTTTCCTGGGTTGACTGGCGAGATGACATCATCGAGGCTTGCTGGGCCCCTGGCTAAGTAGCCCCCTTTCCAAAGCGTTTTTGCCAAATGGAGCCCCGTCAGGAGACGCGATGGCTCGTGCAACGGCGAGGCCGCGGCTGCCAAAGCTCGCCGCCGTCACGCTCGCTTTGTTTTGTGCGCGTACACCGCATATGCCGTGTCGCACGGCAGGGAATGAAGGAAGAGGAGTTTAGTGCGCACAAGCAGGTGTTTGCCGCTCATTACTCTCTGACAATGACCCATCTGCTGCCGGGACGCTGTTGGCGGGCGGGCGGGCGGGGTGGGGGGGAAGACTCCCTGTCAAAAAGGGAACAAACACTCACCGAGAGGATGATATATTTTTTTTTGGGGGGGGGGGTTGAGATGGCGGATGTTGCCGTTGCTGATATGAAAAAAATTCACAAGCGCGGAGCTCTCTCGAGGGTTCCACTTAAGGAGCTTAAGGATTAATCGCAACGCTAATTGAGGGCCACTCGAAACAGGCTGACTTTTTCCCCTTTGTGTTCGATATGAAGTTTGAAGCCATCTGCGCAATAGGTCAAGAGGTACAGGATTCAAATCTGCAACCCCCCCTCTTGCACCGTTATGTTCTTCCTGGCCAGGAAGTGTCAGATGCTCAGGCCATTGCGAGCAGGAACGAGTTGTCCTGCCACGACGCTCGCGTCTTCTCACACACACATTGAACGGAGCAAATGCCATTGGATGTTTTATGGACATGCCTGCCTGATCGTCTCGCTCACATCGAAGGGGAAAAGGTCATGATCTGTGTTTTGGGATATTTGCATCGTTGTGGAGTATTTGTTAGTTTTGTTTCATGTTTTGTCTTGTTTCCCTCTTTCTTGTTCATGTGCTGTCAACTCAGTTATTTTTTTGTTTTTGTTTCTACCCGTTCTTGTTCATGTGATCGTGTGATGTGGACCGAGTAAACGGAGCTTCGAACTCGATGCTGGTGGGGGTGTGACTTTCAGTTTGTCCCATTCGTGCTCAACACGAGCTAATTCAAGCAATAATTCAAGATACTACTTCATATTGAAACCTTGCTTTGATATGTTTTATATTTATATGGGGATAAACGGTTCAGAAAATGAATTAAGGTTCTGATTGCGTCGCAAACCGAGTCGTAAATCGAGGATT